TTATTAAAGTAGGCTAACTTTTTCAATTGTAGGAAAATGAACATACAATGGTGGTAAATATTTTTTTCTTAACTTTTCATAAAAAGGACATTGTAAAATATAATGAAACTCATCTTCTACTAAATCATAATTACATAGTTTACATATTCGTTCGCTTTATCACTTTAATATTTAATATTTAAATCACAGTAATAGTTTAATCTGGAAAATGATTTTATATTCTCAAGAAAATTTTGCCTTTCAATATCCTTTAAACGTAATTTAAAATCATTAATGAAACTTCTCTGGTCATTAACGTTTTGTGCAATCCAAATATAATCAAAGCCCATATAGAGAAAAGTAAATTACCTACTTCCATAGTCCAACAATTCTCATTTCGATATATTTTTCTAATCTGTAGATCGTAACATTTCAATCCGCTCTGATCAGTGTGTATAACCAAAATCGAATTATATTAAATAGAAAAACAAATAGACATAACATTAACAGATAGGGAAAACCGTCCCATTTATGATAGGATCGAGATATATACTAGCACGTGGAAGCCTTGGAATATTTGGCAACCAGTGGCCAGTAAATCCAATGTGGTTAGTTGGGGGTTGAAGGTCGCACACAGCAACCTAATACAGTAATAATAATAATGGTTGGGATAGGAATTGAACCAGGTTCTTTTATTCGCCTAGTACCGTCCCTCACCACCGTGATCGTGAGTAAGGTAGAATTAGGTTTTGGTGAAGCAGATGAATCTTTCATTTTGTAACACCAAAACATACAGTAGCTAATAATTGATAGATTTATGTTTACATGAACTGAGCCGAATATAGCGTTGATACAAAATACAACCTATTTTATCCATTCTTTTTTAGAACGTACACTCGGGTGAGTATCATCTTCCAATGTATACTACACAGAAATGACCATAATGACCTAGAAAAGCAATCACTATTTCCCCATGGATTTCAAGTTGCAATTTGAAGGTGGTTAGCAGGCAGTTCCAGTGTCGCTAATCGATATAGGCTAAGTAAATATAGGTTGAATCATAACACAAAATAGCGAATAATGTATAAATCGTGGACGTTCAATATGTTTCATCATCATCATCATCATTAATTGAAATGAATATCAATTTGAATGCAGAATTAAGAGTAAAGCCTAATACAGAATAAAATGTCGTTTTTATAGGTACGTCGTTGAGAGTTACAGATTAAGCCACTACAATATCTATGTAAAGACACTGTAGGCCTATTCCGAACAATATGACTAAATTATTAGAACATGGTCAGATCAAGGTGTTACAATATGGAGAATGGTTACCCCTGCCCGGGGGAAATGTGACCTTGGCGGGGGTCCGTCTCCAAACGCATTAATTATCTCCGCCAGCCAATTATGTAATCATCGCCGTTTGTTTGTCTGTCTGTCTGTTTGTTAGCAGGATTACGTAATAATAATAATAATAATAATAATAATAATAATAATAGTAATTATTATTATTATTATTATTATTATTATTACTACTATTACTATTATCATTATTTATATAGCGCACAGATTTACATCTGTTCAATGCGCTTTAGGCCTACATAAAAAGATGATAAAATACATTATTAAAATGGGCAACATTATAAAATGAAATTACAAAATATTATACAGAGACTACAAAAATGTACTTAATATTATAATACATCATTAAAATAATTAGAATTTGAAAATTCACCATCAACGAAATAAATATAGTAATTACCTAACAAACTATTATATACAATTATTTCCGAAATTGTTACATTTCAATACAATACAGATCAATGAAAACAATTAAATTAAATATATCAATATGGAAAGACAATATCAATTAAATGAAAAGATAATAATAAAAAATAATTAATGCTATTTACATCAAATTATTTAAAAAATTAACTAACAAACGGATTATACAATTTAGTGGAGTGGTACAAATTGATTTAACGAAGAGGTGATTACATTTTGGGATGAAAAGACAAGAACAAGGTCACATAAATTAAATGAAAAATTACCGCAAGAGCATAAGCGAAAATAATGGAATGGAATCACCCATAAAAGCCCCGCGTGTATTACTAGCTATTCAGGAACAGGGCGGGAGGAAGGCATTATGGAATATTTGTGAGAAATATTTAGTATTGAAAACAATTTACACAATTATTAATTAGGTTTGGTGTATACTATATAGGCCTATATATTACATATAATAATAATTTCTTTTTTCAAACTTTAGTCAAAAGAATTACAAACATAATTTGTTGATACGCGACACCACTTTTGAGTACCTTTAGAAAATGTGTCAAATTTAATTCATAACAACTGAGGGCTCCCATCCATGAATCTCATAATACAGAAACTATTCTTGCTAAACTATTGGAATGGCTTGACTATTTTCTAACAATAAATTATAAGTTTAATTCTGCCTAGAAAACAACCCAATCACAAATACCTTCTAAATGTCGTATGGTATGTTTAATGCCCTGTTTCTGCTGAAAAACTAAAACTAGTCAGACAGCTGTCGACGATAGCGTATAGCAGTGTTATGGAAACCATACTTTAGAGCCAATAAGAAAGTAATCACACCTTCTGTACTGTAACTGAAAGCAAGATGAAGTGTACGCACAGAAAACGCATCGATTTCAACTAGGCCTCAATCATTGGAGACTTCAAAAATGACGATCGACACCATAGAATACTAGAATCCATTTAAAGCAGTTGTTGCATATATACACAGATTTTACCATAATTAGTAAATACAAGAACATCACTTTCAGACTAATGACACTGTTACCTCCACCATGTCTTTTCCCGGGTACTACTCATAAAAAGTTTGTTGAAAATGTACTCCAAAATGATATTACTCATTGTGTTAACCTGTGTAACTTGTCAAACTGTTAATGATTTGATTCGTAAACTTGCAACTGGAAAAGCTTGTGTTTGAACGGACTGTCCAGCGAACATTTAAAATATACGCTACTACAAACGTTAGAGTCTTGCCTAGCATGTGTTCTAACGCAATGTTGACACACGGTGTAGCTGTAGAAGAAATGGTTAAAGTTATTATTGTCCCCATAATTAAAATTAAATGGGGGGATGTTTCAAGTAAAACTAACTATCGACGGATTGTCATTGCCTCAGTTATATTTAAACTGAGAATATTCTAATGAGTATGTCCGGAGATACCTTGCAATCTAATATCAGTTTGCTTTCAAAGAGAATCACTCAACTGATACATGTATTTTATATACAGTACATATATATCTGTCTCTTATACACATCTAGATGTGTATAAGAGACAGACTTGGTACTGTACAAACATAAATTTCTTATTCGTTGGGGAAGTCAAATATCTAGAGATGGAGTAAGACAAGGTGTGTTATCCCAATTTTTTTTTTAATACAATGCTTATTTCAAAATTAAATATTAAATTGAGTGAGACTAGTCATTGATGTTTATGTAACGGCATTATACTGATGATATGGTCGTTCAGTCTCTAGCTTACAAACACATATATAATTATGTAACAATTTGCCGAAGAGCATGACCTATTATAAAATGCAAAAAAAGACTGTATGGTGTTATGCCCCAAAACAAAGGAACCGTCCGGTGTGCCCAATACGTATTTGTTTATAGGAAAGAAACTGGACTATGTCGATTCCGTTTCGTACCTGGGCCATGGTATTGTTTCCAATGGCATGAAAGATGAGAATGACATTATGCAGCATATGCAGCAGTATCACTCTCTTTTGTATAAGAGGAAAAAATCTTAGAAGTAAATTTAAGAATGCTCTGACAATTAGTGCATACTCTTTAATAGTTACTGTATAAACATGTACCGTGCTTCATTGTGGAAAAATCCCAAAGTAACCACCATTAGATCTTTACAAACTGGTTACAATAATTAAGCCTAATGCTTTTCGCATGCTTCTTAATTTGCCGAGATTTTGTAGCGCTAGTGAGATGTTTGTTGTTCAAGAAATTCCGTCATTCTATGAGTGTCTTAGAAAATGTATTTTTCAATTTCGTGAAAGTCATTAGTAGTAAAAACATAATATTAGTAATTACAGTGACACAATGCATGCTGAATAGCTCTAAGGTAAACGATTATGGAATGCCTTGTTGTTTGGATGACTTTATTTTTGTCCTGTATGTGTATGTGTATGTATATGTATATATGTATATATGTATATATGTATATATGTATATATATATATATATATATATGTATATGTGTGTGTGTATATATGTTTGTATATGTATGTATATATGTATACATATGGGACGATATGTGTTTATCTCGGTCATATCATTACCGTACTTACTTATAAATAGCATCTCTTCGAAGATCTTGCCATGATGTCAACTGCAGGTAAGAAGAGGGCGTATCATATTGATCTCTGTTGCCATGCATCGATGATAAGTGGTCTGATACACATGCGCATGAGTATGAATGAATTGCATGCTTCAATCGGATTTGAATTTCCAACAAAGCCTCAGTGGCGTGGTTGGCCGCAGATTACTCTTTTAGGTTGCGCATTTATATATTTTGCAGCATTGCTGCAAGACATTTTAGAGTTATCTCTATCATATTACTACTTATTTATATAGGCCTATGTATTTGTTGTATGATTGTCCTAGGGAGTTATTCCGAAATAAAGTGAAATGAAATGATGAATTAATACGGTAATACTGTAAATGTAATTCAATAATTTAAACAAACTATTGTATTAAATTATCAAGGTAGCGTATTAACATTGCTGAATATTCATGAGTACTGCTAAATAATCATACCATAAAATATAACATTTTAAAAGTTAAATATATATTAGGCCTATAAGAAAAGTTGAAATTTGCTTACATTGCTTATTTTAAGCAATTTGTTTCCAATTATATTTTAAGATTTAATAGTAATTTTATTATGATATACAATTTACGACACTACAAATTATTGGGCTTTATGACAGATCAGCAGATTGGTGTTTATTAAGATAATACTTTTACAGATCATTTCTATAGTTTGTTTTACGGAGAAAGGATTAAAGTTGATCGAATCGCTAACCCACGAGGATGAGTTTAGGCGTCCTCTTCTGAGCGTGAAGCAGAGTTTGGGAGTTCCATTTGGGACGACCAAGCTCATTGATGACCGTTCATCTGAGACTAAATTTTGGATGGAGGAGACAATGCAATCTAATTGGTGGCCAAAAGCTAATTTGTGGAAAGTAGAAAATTAAATGCTTCGTTATTCGATTACAACGGAATATTCAAGATGGTCGGGTAAATGAAGTCCTTTTTTCAATAAAATGTTAATATTTGATATATGTTGTTATTGGTATATTATGTAGTATGTCGCCATTTCTGCCACATATATAAGTATTATACATGCATATATAGGCCTATAATATATAAATATAATGTACGCTGATGTTGCAGTACCTAAACCAAAAATGGTCTTTTTATATCAATATTTAATGTTGTATCAAAACTTTAGTTTTAGTGGAGTTTTGGTGGAGTTTTTGAATAACAAATACCAACACAAAAATAAAAAATTGTTCATCATGAAGTATAAGAACAATATAATAAAATTTAGGAAAAACGCCGAAAATTCTGCAAAGTGTAAATGTATAATACGGTAAAACTTCCAAACAGAAAGTAATATAAAGAAGAATTTACATGTGTTTACACAGAAGAGTACTGTGACAATGCAAGACCTTAGACAGTTTGAGAAACTCAACAAGGTGGAAAAAGCAAATACAGACACGAACTTTCCAAAATGTAATAGAAACCATCAAGACACATTATTTGGCTTATTAAAATCGAGGGACAACAACTGATGATGATTATTATTAATTATCTAATAATGACTGACCTATTCTCTTGACATCTTAAATCGATATGTTTCAAACCTAGCCTCAGCTATTGTTTAGTTTTCCACCAATCAGCAGCAAAGTCTCACTTTCTAAACATAAGTATTTCCCTGCTTACACAGATATTATTCTCCTGATGGCGATTGAAGCAACTCAATTGAAACGTCGAGACATTAAAGAAACAACAGTTCTTTTCAGAAACTATCTACGTGGTGTACCGCAAGTATTTAATATAAATTACTAATTCGCCATGAAAACCTTCAAATGATATGAAACTGTTACAGAAAGAATGTAGATGAGATTGGCAAGGTATAAAAGCTGGACGATAGGGTCACCATATCAGCGTTTTATGGGCTCTTTACCCAAGGCTCCAACAATTACTGCATTAAAGGAATACGGCAACTGGTTCACCATAAATTGCATAATAATCTTATAATAATCTTATAATAATAATAATAATAATAATAATAATAATTATTATTATTATTATTATTATTATTATTATTATTATTAATAAAAATAATAATTTTTTTTAATAATAATAATAATAATAATAATAATAATAATAATTATTATTATTATTATTATTATTATTATTATTATTATTATTATGCAATTTAAGGAGAACCTATAAATTATGTGTACCGAATGTTCGAAACATTATGTATCATAAAGTGAACAGTGCTATTCACTACCAAATTAGTAGACTAGAGACCTAATTTATGCAATGGTTTTTGTTCACTCTTTGCTTGGATTTCATTCTATGTTTTAAATAAATTCATGCTGTAAATGTTTACTATTACTGTAAATGAACCAATCATGCGTGCCATGAATGTATTTTTCTCAAAGAACCTTCATTATCCAACCAACAATCATTATAATTGTACTATCACTTTTGTATATCTCATAGATCTAAATATTTTGTGGTTTTGTCAAATTTCTATATAACACAGTATACTTTTTCGCTTTCTTTGTTGGTTAATTTATTTTCGCAATTCTGTTCTGGTCTACAGAGTTGTTTAATTTGCTGATGATGTTTTTGTTTAATTATGTTCGGGAATCACATTTTCCTATTTTTGCTTCTGCATCTGTCAGTATTTAACTTGAAATGCTTTTGTGTACAGCAGATACAGCAAATTGTGTATCTACTTTTTCTTGTGCTCTTGATCGCCTTGTTCTGTTGTTCTTGTTCTATAGATTTGTAATTCTGAAATAAAAGATGAATGAATGAATAAGTTTTAAATAGGATAGACAATGGATTGTTTTAAATTTATTTAAAAATATCATCATCAATACGATTATTATCGAGTTTACCTCTATTTTCTGCATCAACATTTCTTTCGCAATAAATTACAGAAATGTTTAAAACGTGCACATAGGTCTTGGTCCACGATGGTCAAAACGGCTTAGACTTTCTTCAAAAGAATGGTGTGCAATAGGACTTTTATAAGCTTGCATTTCAGCTATCTTGTTCATTACTAGACTATCATTATTAATATAATTTGAAATTAAACTGGATAATTAAACAATCCATAGACAATGTATAAACGAGGTCGAACGTAAAGTTTTTTTGTTTTTTTTTGTAGTTTATGCACTGATGTTAAATTTGAGAGGTATCATTAGCGGACGTAGCCCGTACAGTACCCTTCCAACTACGTCTTCTAAACAAGCTGCTTAGGGTTTTGAAATTATCAAAAAGCATTAGGTTGTATTATAAAATATGACACCCGGTGCTCAATACAAAAAAATGCTAGACCTATGCTCACATAGGTGTGACCTGATTATAGAATTTTTAAAAAAACATGGCCTACATTCATTATTTGTGGATCTAAACCCTATAAATTATTTTTGCAATATCATCATTATCATCACCTTTCCATATCCATTACAAAATAAGCCCTTGATTATATGTTCCTTAGCTGAGCAATTCAGAATTACCAATGACTCTCAAAATGAATTTATTTATCGGCTAACTGCCATTACTGGAGTTTCCATTATAAATATAATAGCATATGTGACTATATCTTCAACCAATTGCGTATAAAAACAGATGTTAAATGAAAAAAATATATCATCATTAAAAGTAACTCATATGAATGACCTCTCTGTCAAAGACCTACATTTTTATTTTGTTGACTTTCTCAAAGAGTTATTATTGGCCCTCTTTCTATTCCTATTGACACGCAACACCAGAGCTCTCTACTATGGGCCTACTGCGATTGGCTAAGATACACTCCGCGTAATCTAGTTTAGACGCGCTCAATGAAGCTTCAACACTATTTTGACGCCTTTGTTGACGCAAACAGGAGTAAGTAGTGTTGCTTGCGTTTTTGCGGCTCAACTGAACCATACCTCCATGACTGAACCAAGCCTGAAAAGGTTAAGATGCGTGAACAAACTATTCGCACGTAGGATCTAACTACCAACTAGTTAATCATTATGGTAATTATTACCTCTGCCAAGGAGGTTATGTATTCGCTGCTCGTTCTGTGTCTGTCTGTCGTGCTGTCTGCCTGTATGTTAGCAAGATTACGCAAAAACTATAGATGAATGAATCATCATACAATTTAGTGGAATGTTACATAATAATCAAAGAAAGACTCTATTCAGTTTTTGGAAGGAAATGTCAAAGGACAAGGTCAAGGTTTAAAGGTCAATTATTGACCTTTAAGCATAAACGAAAATAATGGAACCGCCCCAGTATTCAAGCAACACTCAACCAAATAATGTGCTGTATCTAAATCATTGAGGGTATGCTGAAGTTTCACCCATCATATACACGGCCTGCTTATTGCTGGTATTCAGGCACAGGGCGAAGGTATGCACCATGTGTAGTGACCGATCTAGTTAATAAATAAAATATCAATTACGCTTTTTATACAATAAAATATTGAATTATTAAAATAGGTCTGAGAAGGCAACCTCAAACATGTTTACCTTCATTGTAATATATGCTGGCTTATTTAGTTTTAAAAATATTAAGCGTTGTAATACTTCATATGTGGCCTAATATAAGCCGTATTTATAGCCGGATAAAAATCCAATTTGGAAGTTACAGTAATTATTCGTTGACCTTTAGATAAGAAAGTTGATCAAGATAAAAACCTCTCACTATTTTAGTGTTAAGGTTGATTTAATGTTAGAATTAATAAACTAATCATTATTACTGCGTCATCAATCATTATTAGTTTAACGTGTATCGGGCAGTACCCGGGAGAACTATTAAATGAGGCAAGAATATTCAAGTTATAGGCAGATATATTTTTCACAATAAATAAAATATGACAGTAGTTTGGCTTGTTTAGACTACAGTGGAAGATTGTCAAATAAAAATTAAAAAGGTACGTATTAAAATGTAGGGCTAGCTATATTATAACATAAATTTGTATATAATATATATATATTACTATATTACTTTGTCTAATGTTAAGATATGAGCAAAACAAAAATGTATATATTATTCAAGTCAAAAAAGTTAAATGGTTCAGCTATCTAATATATTATATTTGCTTCAATATCAAAAACATACAATTACAAAATGTGTGAAGCCATGATATACACATATTAGCCGCGTCATAAACCGAGTCAACGATGTCTCATGAGGGACTGTTATACGAACATCGGCTTTAATTTCAATTAATTTAATGTTTCCACATAGAATTAATGATTTCAATAAGAATCAGCAAACTAAACTGATATTAACAACAGAAATTTGAGGCTCAAAACTAACCGAGCAAATTAATTGATCACGTGTGTACAATAAATGGGGATTCATAATTAGAAGCCCTGTGGCTCGTGGAGGAATTCGTTGGAGCATTTGTTTAGGAAGTTTACGGTTGATGTAAAACCATTAGGGCCTACCGTATATTTCTTTACGGTTAAAAACAAAGGGGAAAAATGACTGATCTAACCAAATCCCAATGGTTAAATTAAAATACGTGACCGTTCCTGTGGTTCGATGCTCGATGTTGTTCAATGTGACAAATATTACAGCTGAATCAACAATGACCACGTGACAGTGACGGATGACACGTGACACAGGCGGACGAAACGTGACACTGACTGATGGCACGAGCGCGCAGTGATGACCTGGCCCATTCCTGCGGGGTGTTTCCAAGTAACATATCATCACGTACGTACACAAAGCTAATCAGGTGACATACAAAAAGTAAACAGATTGAAAATCCGACAAATTTGTCTGCTTTAAAGCGTCCACCATTTTTTACGATATAATAAAACGTAATTAGATGATGCAATGATGTTATATATTACTCAGTAATACATTTTTTTTTCTATTATCTGGTAAAAACCTGTAAAAAATCAACCATTTAA